TTAGATAAAATTTCTTAAAAATCGCAAACAATTACAGTATACTGTACAAAAGCAAAAATGCATCTGATACGTAGCTCCGATATGTAGCGATGCAGACAGAAGCGTGTACAGTATGAGCCAATCAGTGGCAGTAATGACAGAGCATGCGCTGTTACGCAAAAAACGCGATAGAGTAAAGCCGCGGAAGTCGAAGCGCTTGAAGTGGCAAGGGTTCACTGTATAGCAGTTATGACACAGATAGGCAAATGCACATTCCTGTTCATCACAGCACTATTTACAATGGCAAAAAGATGGAAACAACCTAAATGTCTATAAAGGGATGGATATAAAGTTCAACTGTCCAAAGTAGGGAAGAGCAAATCAAATTGAAGATGCATAGAAACAGTTAGCCCAAAGGACTTATGAACCACTTAACCGCCACAACCATGAGACACAAAGAACTAGAACAAGAACTACCTCTACCAACTATTCTGAAAGGACCCCATTAGGAGGGTTTTGATAGAGTGGGGGGAACTGTGGAACAACATTTTAAATCATAAAAAAGTATATGAGGCGTACTGGTCAGATAGAGTCCGGTGGAACTCCCCAAAACTGGTCAGTGTTGTATGTCAACTTGAGTGGGCCAGGATTCTCCTAGGCTAGGACTGATCTAATTTAATGTGATCAGGATGAGACCTGCTGTGAAGAAGCCAAGCAGTGGCCTCGGGACAGTCTGGATAAAATGGAGAGAGCTTTCATTCAGAGTATAGCCTATTCGATTATAAACTGACCAGGTGTGGAAGCGAGTTCACGTCTGCTGGACTTACTGACCTCCTCTTATAGTGCCTGCCAACCCCGGGAGCCATTGGCGGATTGCCACCTTGGATTCATTCCGCCTATCTTGGATTAATTCTAATCTTCATCCACCACCCTGTAGGCTTCCTGCTCCATCTTCCTGCTTCCTGTCCATCAGACCTTGCAGGTACAAGACTTCAGCTCTCATCTGACCCACAGACTCAAACCAGATTGGATTTACTTTGATAACTGTGTGAGTTATTTCTTGGTGTTGATCTCTTTCAGATACATACCCATACATGAGGCACTGGCTTTGCTTCTCTCGAGAACCCAGCCTAATACGGTCATCCTTTGGGTCCTGAACTGAACCCACCCAATGGCTCAATTTGCAGTCACACAGTAGACACGTCTGTAGGAAGAGCCATAGCACTAGGGAAACAATGCACTGGAATCATCCAGGGTGGTGGGATTGTAAAAGCAGATAC